GTAGTACAACTTTAGTACGCGGAGCAATCTGTGGAGCTGGAAGCTGAGAACTGGCGACTTTGTATTACAACTTTAGTACGCGGAGCAATCTGTGGAGCTGGAAGCTGAGAACTGGCGAGTTTGTAGTACAACTTTAGTACGCGGAGCAATCTGTGGAGCTGGAAGCTGAGAACTGGCGACCTTGTAGTACAACTGTAGTACGCGGAGTATCTGGGGAGCTGGAAGCTGAGAACTGGCGACCTTGTAGTGCAACTTTAGTACGCGGAGTATCTGGGGAGCTGGAAGAGAGTCCCACAAGAGTGTCCCGCAACAGTGTCCCACTAGAGTGTCTCACAAGAGTGTCCCTTCCAAGTGTCCTACAGGAGTATCCCACAAGAGTGTCCTACAAGAGTGTCCCACAAGAGTGTCCCACAAGAGTGTCCCACAAGAGTGTCCTACAAGACTGTCCCACAAGAGTATCCTACAAGAGTGTCCCACAAGAGTGTCCCACAAGAGTGTCCCACAAGAGTGTCCCACAGAGTCTCCCACAAGAGTTTCCTACAAGAGTGACCCACAAGAGTGTCCTACAAGAGTGTCCTACAAGAGTGTCCCACAAGAGTGTCCCACAAGAGTGTCCTATAAGAGTGTCCCACAAGAGTGTCCTATAAGAGTCCCACAAGAGTGTCCCACAAGAGTTTCCTACAAGAGTGTCACACAAGAGTGTCCCGCAAGAGTGTCCCACAAGGGTGTCCTACAAGAGTGCCCCGCAACAGTGTCCCACTAGAGTGTCTCACAAGAATGTCCCTTAAGAGTGTCCGACAAGAGTAGCCCACAAGAGTGTCCTACAAGAGTGTTCCACAAGAGTGTCCCACAAGGGTGTCCCACAAGAGTTTCTCACAAGAATGTCCCACAAGAGTGTCCTGCAAGTGACCCACAAGAGTGTCCCACAAGAGTGTTCCACAAGAGTGGCCTATAAGAGTGTCCCACAAGAGTGTCCTACAAGAGTGTCCCACAAGAGTTTCCTACAAGAGTGACCCACAGAGTGTCTCACAAGAGTGTCCCTTAAGAGTGTCCGACAAGAGTATCCCACAAGAGTGTCCTACAAGAGTGTCCCACAAGAGTGTCCTAGAAGAGTGTCCCACAAGAGTTTCCTACAAGAATGTCCCACAAGAGAAGAGTGTCCCACAAGAGTTTCCTACAAGAATGTCCCACAAGAGTGTCCTGCAAGTGACCCACAAGAGTGTCCCACAAGAGTGTTCCACAAGAGTGTCCTATATGTCCCACAAGAGTGTCCTACAAGAGTGTCCTACAAGAGTGTCCCAGAAGAGTGTCCCACAAGAGTGTCCTACAAGAGTGTCCCACAAGAGTGTCCTACAAGACTGTCCCACAACAGTGTCCCACTAGAGTGTCTCACAAGAGTTGCCCTTAAGAGTGTCCTACAGGAGTATCCCACAAGAGTGTCCTACAAGAGTGTCCCACAAGAGTGTCCCACCAGAGTGTCCCACAAGAGTGTCCCACAAGAGTGTCCTACAAGAGTGTCCCACAAGAGTGTCCCACAAGAGTGTCCCACAGAGTGTCCCACAAGAGTGTCCTACAAGAGTGTCCCACAAGAGTGTCCTACGTGACTGTCCCACAACAGTGTCCCACTAGAGTGTCTCACAAGAGTTGCCCTTAAGAGTGTCCTACAGGAGTATCCCACAAGAGTGTCCTACAAGAGTGTCCCACAAGAGTGTCCCACCAGAGTGTCCCACAAAGAGTGTCCCACAAGAGTGTCCTACAAGAGTGTCCCACAAGAGTGTCCCACAAGAGTGTCCCACAGAGTGTCCCACAAGAGTGTCCTACAAGAGTGTCCCACAAGAGTTTCCTACAAGAGTGACCCACAAGAGTGTCCTACAAGAGTGTCGTACAAGAGTGTCCCACAAGAGTGTCCCACAAGAGTTTCCTATAAGAGTGTCCCGCAAGAGTGTCCCACAAGAGTGTCCCACACGAGTTTCCTACAAGAGTGTCCTACAAAGTGTCCCACAACAGTGTCCTACAAGAGTGTCGTGTAAGAGTGTCCCACAAGAGTGTCCTGCAAGTGACCCACAAGAGTGTTCTACAAGAGTGTCTCACAAGAGTGTCCCACAAGAGTGTCCTACAAGAGTGTCCCGCAAGAGTGTCCTACAAGAGTGTCCCACAAGAGTGTTCCACCAGGATGTCCTATAAGAGTGTCCCACAAGAGTGTCCTACAAGAGTGTCCCCCAAGAGTTTCGTGCAAGAGTGACCCACAAGAGTGTCCCACAAGAGTGTCCTACAAGAGTGTCCCAGAAGAGTGTCCCACAAGAGTGTCCTACAAGAGTGTCCCACAAGAGTGTCCTACAAGACTGTCCCACAACAGTATCCCACTAGAGTGTCTCACAAGAGTGTCCCTTAAGAGTGTCCTACAGGAGTATCCCACAAGAGTGTGCTACAAGAGTGTCCCACAAGAGTGTCCCACAAGAGTGTCCCACAAGAGTGTCCTACAAGAGTGTCCCACAAGAGTGTCCTACAAGAGTGTCCCACAAGAGTTTCCTACAAAAGTGTCCTACAAGAGTGTCCCACAAGAGTGTCCTACAAGAGTGTCATTTGGACATATTAGTTTTTCGAACGTGTTTGCATTCGGGTTCGTGGGTTCCATCTTGTTTGTTTTGCCGGCGGCTCCTCCTCCCGCCTCCTCCTCATCAACTACCGTAGCTCACACGAATACAGCTCATTGTGTGAGGTTTTTGTTTTTCCTGCGGCATCCCGACTCCTCCTCCTACTCCTCCGGGATCATATTTGTTGATTTTTCAGCAAGTACAGAATACAGAAGCCATTGAACTTAGGACCCAGTATGTGGGCAAGTGAGCGTTCGGACCAACTGTGATCTTAAGCCTTGTGGCACGCTTGGGGCACGCCGGGCACGCTTTATCATGAGTTTCAAGCTTTATACTTCTGGCGTTTGTCGCTAGAACCTTTATAGCGGAGCAGAGAGCCTCCGCCACTTTATGAAGCAAATGCAATACATTGACTTTAGCCTGCTTGGAGATTTGTGCTTGTAGTGTTCTCTAGTCGGGATAGGTGAATGCTTTTTGGCGAGTCTTTCTCAAGCAGGAACAGGGGGCTTCTTTGACAAGGTCCATCGAGGTCCTACCAGTTTGTAGAGTGCAAGACTCAAAAGCTCCATTTAGGAGAGGTGAAGTCTTCTGATGTTTTGAGTGTTTCAATCTCCTCGCTTTGAGTACTGGGCATTGTTCAAGCCTATGCTCATTGCAGAATCGGAGGCTGAGCTTACTTGAGCAGTCCAATGCTGTACATTTTGGATCAGGTACACCAGGTGCACGAACCCTGCAGAATCACAGAGCGCCAGACCAGTTGCCGGACCAATAGATCGTCTCTGCTCTGACAATTGCACGTTTCGCACGGCCGCTGCGGAGTCTCTGTGTGCAAGGAATTTGGTGACTTGCGACACAAAAGCCCTGCAGAAGCCGTGCGTCCCGAGAGATGTATGCTGTTCTTGCGTGAAAAGCTTGGGTAAAAAAGAGATGGTGAGATGTGGAGAGTGAGTGTTCGCATGCGTTTGATTATTATTGATTGATGTTTTTTTCGAGTTCAGAATGGAGTATGAGTATTGTTCCTTTGGCGTTCTCCTTCAGAACAGCAGAACTGCGCTGTCTCTCATGGTAAGTCAGCATAATTAACTCAGCTTTGCACTTCCACAAGCTTGGCTCAAGAGGGCTTGAAGCGAAAGGCGTGACACACCATATGGGCGAATGAAATCAGTCTTGATCTGCCAAGTGCCCACAATCTCAGATTCCAATCGAGAGTTTCGCGAAAATTCACTGCCAGCTGCGCCAAGCTGTGCCATGGCTGGCAGCCGGCCCCCAGACGTGGCTTTAAAGATTGGCTCATGGTCTGAGCCCTAAGGTCTGATTTCACTACCAGACTTGTTGATCTGGTGAAGAAGAAATCTAGGGCCTTCTAGAAGATTTAGTCCTGACCTCATGACTGATCAGTTTCTATGACCTTTCCCGTAGAATTCGGGCTTTGCTGACACTTGGTAAACAAGAGGCAATTCGATTCAGTTGGATAAGTCGGCAACGTTGCTATTCAGCTGTCAAGTCTTCGTTGTCACAAAATGAAATGGCGTGAGCCGCAGAATCCATCAGTCCCAGTAGGCTATTCTAGATGTCACCTGTGATGCGACATCTAGAGTAAAAGATCACCGGTTGGTGGTCAAATTTAAATTGGGGTAGCTCGAGCCCCCGAAATAGCGACGATCACTATAGTGACGGCCAACCTTGGCTGCTGCAAATGGATGTACAGGGGTTGGCTCCTAAAATTAATAAAATAGTGGGGGATTGGCTCCATCAATTTTATTGGAGCAGATTGGGGTTGATTTTGAGATTGGCCCTGCAACACTATATTTTGCACGTGGGTTGGATGCTGCTCATGTTATTTCATTGCAAGAGATTTATTTATTTTCTTATTTTGTTATTGTGCCTTTTGTTTGTCTTGCTGGGTGTGTGTGTGTGTGTGTGCTAATGTGGTGGTAGCTAAGGGTGGAGAAATCAAGATAAAATCAAAGGCATTGCAGCCTAAATAGTTGAAGTCTGATTCTAGGGTTGGCTCCCATCACTTTTATTTCACCCAAAGTGTGCTTTTGGTAGTGTTCTTTTTGTTTGTCTGGCTGGGTGTGTGTGCTAATGTCGTGGTAGGTAAGGGTGGAGAAATGAAGATAACATCAAAGGCATTGCAGCCTTAAAAAAATCAAATCTGATTCTAGGGTTGGTTCCCATCACTTTTGCTGGGAATCTGGTAGACAGTATAACTATAGACAGTATACGCACTAAAATCATTATAAGCAATATAACTGGCACTTCCTTCAACGAATGACGCTTTGCCGAACTCACTTTTTTGGGTAGCAATCACTATTTCAGGTAGTCAACCTTCAGAGCGTCACTATTTCAGGTAGCCAACCTTAAAGGCTCCTGGAAACCTTCAAGGGTTGGCGTTTTGTTCAGGCTGAGGTACCCGACCTCCACCTGCACCAAGCCTACCTACCAACGTTGGCTACCCCACAAACAACTCTACTTGGAGGTTGGCTACCCAAAATATTTTGGGTGACCGACCCTCTCTGGGAGCTACAACCGGGGATGTACAAGTACCAACCGACATTTGCTAAGGTCTTGCTTTTGCTTTTGCGGGTCACCTGATGTGAGGCCGCCTTCATCAAAAGGAATGTCTAATATCCAAAGTTTTTTGATGGACTCAGAAAATGCAGTGCAGCAAGAGTATGGAATGGATCGAACGGAGAGTTTGAGGTGTCAATCAGCACATTGGGGTTTCGGGCCAGGTCTGAGCTGGAGCAGTTCGAGTATTTGGAGAGGCGGGAACCGTGCATGGGATCATGTTTGAATCTGCTTTGAACTCTTGACTAGACTTGGACAACCCCAGTGAATTAAATATGCAGTAAGGCAGCAGTGTGGTGGGTGTAATGGACTTTGCGAACACTTCGACCACCAGCAAATACAATTATGCCATGCCTTTTTAGATCTGTTTAGCCTTCTTGGACAAACACCTTAGGCTTGTGCCTTCGTTTTTTGATGGCTTGCCTTTGGACATGGACATGAACAAGAACACTTTCTTACCTGCGTTTAGGAAAGGACTTGACTACTCTGGATCATCAAACCGCAAAATAGCTTTGCTTTGTCAAATTGGAAACGCTTCTCCGCCAAGAATTCGGAAGAGTTCTCTTTTGGGAAACCTCAAAACCATGGGGCGCCTGATGTAGAAAACTTGCAGACCTTGCTTCTTAAGTAACTCAAGGGTTTCCGGATTAAATGTTTGGTCCATCAATTGTGCCTACAAGGAAATTTCGTGTAGAAACCTTCTGAAAGAAGGCATGTTATAAAGAAGGTCAAAAGCAAAGCTTGTTGCTGAAGTAAGGGACAGCGCTTTTGTCCAAAGTGAGGTCACCATCGGAGCTGGAAAGGCGCACAAACATGGCATCGGTGCTTCATAAATACACGTTCAACGCATTTGACATGCTTTAAACTAACTATGCTGATTTATATTTATGCATTTGACATGTCAAAGTGCAGCTTTGCGTCGCAGGCCATGCTCTTTAAATGAGGATTTGCAAGAGTTGGGCACAAAGATATAGAAGACGGATCATTGACGCGCAAAGAACTATCGCTGCATCAAGAACAAAGTATATTGGTTCATCACTTTGTTAAAGGATCTAATTTGATACAGTGAACTTACACAAGGAACAAGGATACTAGGAACAAGTGCATCGCTACTAGTGACAAGGGCCTTACTAGTAGTAACAAGAAGCTATTAGAATTAAATGTAAGCAAACACAACCGGACGATATCTTTGCTGATCCGAACCAAGAACAGCGAGGTTCGAAGACAATGAGCGGCCCAATTTTTCCGGTGAATGGACTTTGGTCAAGGCCGTGGCTGCCCTTTCTTGCCAACTGCCAACCTGCGCTTGTTCAGGTAGATGGTGACTGGGATGCATTTCTCAAGGACACTCTTTTAGCAATTTTAGCCTTCATTGCTCTGCTACATCATGAGATCATGGCCTCGCTTCTCTTTTCATGTTCTGTCAAGATGAAAGAGGCTACTTCAGTAGTTACTTCAGGAATCTTCAGGATAAATCGTTGTGCTTTCATGAATTCTCACAGGAAATCGAGGTGGGATACCTGTCGGCAACTCAGTTGTCTTAGAACATGTTGCAGTGGATAAACATGTTTCACATGTTTCAGAAGTCAGAACTGATTGAACGCGCCATTTTGTGAAGTGGCCTGTTCGAGTCTATGCAAAGATTGTGGCTGAAGCCCAAATATCCATGGTGACAGTGTGGTCGCATGTGGTCACCTTCCGTGAGCTATGCAGCCTGCGGAGATCCTTGAGCGCAGATGGACCAAGGTGATTGGATCAGTGATTCAAAAGACAGCACACGAAACACATAGCTTAGCTTGACACTGGGCAGGGGGACAATGTGCTTCTTTGAATTTGCAGGATGACTACACGACCTTTATACTTCATGCTAAGAAAAAGTGGCAAAAAGCCCTACACTTGCTGAATCAGGCGCATCTCATAGCCCATGTGCAACCAAGCTCATGGCACGTTGAGCACCACTACATTAACGCTCAGCTTTCATGCGTGATCAATCAATGCAACTTGCTTTCCGAGTACGCCACTGCTCGTCCTTTTGGTTCGAGGCATGTGATGCCTCACTTTGGCCAAAGCTCATGGCCTTTAACTCGGTTATCAACGTTTGTGGCAAGGCAAAGCAGTGGAGAATGGCTATTTCTGTCTTCTCAGACCTCCACTTTTTCTCAGTTTGCTTAACTCGTCTTCAACCTGATGTCACCTAGCAAGCAGAAAGCAGCAAAAGGAGTTGCGATTTCAAGAACACTTGCAAATTGTAATTCTGCATCGCCCTAAGTGCTTTCGTTTGCCTTTGCGTACCTTACATACATGTAAAACATGTATGTACCAGTTTACTCATAGCAGTTTTTGCAATCAATATGAGCAGAAGTTGTTTCTGACATGTGTTGCTTTGTGTTTGTTCAAATTCTGTTTGCGCCTAGTTCAGCGTGCCACAGTTCCTAAGGTTATTTCATTCAGTGCCGCGATCGCTGCGTGTGAAAAGAGCGCTTTGGATTCTAAAGGGAGACTGAGAGGGAGTTAGTGCCGACGAGTGCCATTGTATGCCAGTGACTCCTTGCTCGTGACTAGTAGCTTCTTGCTACTAGTAGTAATGGCCTCCAACCTAATAGCGATGGCCTCCAACCTAGGAGCTTCTTGCTACTAGTAGCTTCAAACTTGTGCTTTGAGGTCAACAATGGCAGTCAGCTTTAAAGCTTTTCGAGCAGCTGTTGGATGAATCTTTGCAGCTGGATATCGTCGCCTGCAACTCTGCGGTCAGTGCATGCGAGAAGGGTAGTCAATGGCAAGCCGCCTTTGGTGTGCTCTATGATGTGCCTTGTTCACAAAAAGTGCCATGGTCAACCAAAGACACCTAGAAGTTCATACTGAAACAGCATCCTTTGTTGCTTCAGGTGCAGAAGATTGACTTGCAGTTAGATGTCATTAGCTTCAACGCAGCTATTAGCGCATGTGGCAAGTCAAACCAATGGGTTTTAGCTTTGCAATTGCTAGATGACTTGCACCGTTCTCGACTTCAAAGTGATCAAATCAGCTTCAATGCAGCCCTTGCAGCGCTTGGTGCTTGTGAAGATTGGCACATTGCGTTGCAATTGCTGATCCAAATGGATCACTGCCGCCTTCAACGAGATGCAATCTCGTTCAACGAAGCTTGCACGCCTGCTTGGGATCCTTCACCTATTGTTTTTATATATATATATATAATGCTATGTTCTCTAGACTGTTCTTTTTGTCTTTGGCTTTCCTCAATTTTCATGTTTGTTCCTTTCCCTTTCTTTGGAACTCTCCCGCCCAAGCGATGCCCCACGGTGGTGGTCGTTGGGCCTTGCCTTGGCTACGGCATAGCCACACACTTTGGAGCTTGAACTTGATTGCGGTCCTGTTGATTGTACTACCTTATTCTTCAGCTGAACACATTTTCTCACGTACAACAGTCAGTACAGTAGATGAGATGGCCCTTGACCCACCCTTAAAGAAACACTGAAGCCTTGATCCCAAGCTCGCGCACCTCATGTTTGAGGCAGCTATGAATGCATGCGCTGGAGATTGGACGCGTGCTTTGGGGCTTTTTTCGCAGATGCGGCTTTTGCAAGTCAGTCCACAGCTCATCACCTTTAGCACTGCTATTACATGTTGCAGCCTGGGCAGTGAATGGTCAGCTGCGTTGCACCTTTTCCATTCACTTGCCTCACCAGACTTAATCGCTTTCAATGCGGCTATCAGTGCATGTGAAAAGGGAGGAGCATGGCAACACGCGTTGCAACTCCTTCAAAATGTTCATGTGCAGACCTTACAGGCAAACCTCATCACCTACAACTCGGCTTTGAGCGCTTGCGAAAAATGCCAGCAATGGCAAGAAGCCATTGTCATGTTTTCTTCCCTTAAGACTAGGGATACAATCAGCTATAACGCTTGCATCAGCGCTTGTGGGAGTGCTGGTGAGTGGCAACAAGCCTTGGTCTTTCTAAGCGAGTTGCAATCGCCAAGCACCTGTGGTCCTGATGTCGTGACCTGTGCGGCAAGTGTGAACGCATGTGCCCATGCGGGTCATTGGCAAGAGGCTCTCCTGATCTTCCTCGACTTGCGAAGGTCTGGCACCAATGTCACTCGGTATGAAGGTATCATATCAGTCAATCTAGGTTGGAGGCTATCGTTATTAGGCCATCGCTCTTAGGTTGGAGGATATTAGGAGCAAGGACGCTACTAGGGGCTCCTGGCCTTACTACTA